AACCGTGCGCCTCTGGGATTGCAGTGCAGCTTCTTGCCACTAGGCCACCAGAGCTCCCCCCTATTTATTTTTGTAAATGTCCATGGTACTCAAAATATAGAAGATCTTTTTTCTATTAATTTTAATGAATATTTACAGAGATTTTGGATTTTTATTCATTCATTGTTGCACCTTCTCCCTGCCCACCCCTCCCCTCCAGTTCACTCCTCTCTTTGAAAGAAGAAAAATTCCTTCATTGGTATACAACCCCCCATTTCCCCCACTCCCGGCCCCCAGTACACTTCACTGTGCAAACTTAATTCTGGACTCCCGTGAAAACCACAATACCCAATCATATATCGCCTTTAATCTGCTATCTTCCTCATCTGTTTCAATACAGTACACATAATTTATCGAGTTTTCTCAGTCTTACCCCAACCCCGATGTGAGTCCCATTCTATAACAGTGGCACCATGCAGTATTTGTCCCTTTGTGACTGAGATATTTCACTCAGCATAATGTCCTTCAGGGTCACCCATTTTGAATAATATTGCATGAGCTCCTTGTTTTTCAATGCAGCGTAGTATTCCATTGTGTGGATATACCACAGCTTCTCTATCCATTCTTTTGTCGATGGGCACTTAGCACTTAGGTTGCCTCCAACTCTTTGCTATTGTGAACAAAGCTGCGATAAACATGGGTGTGCACATATCTGCTTGGATGGCAGTTATGGTTTCTTTAGGGTAGATTCCCAGTAGTGGAATTGCTGGGTCAAATGGTATCTCTACTTGCAACTTTTTGAGAAAGCACCACACCGCCTTCCACAGCGGCTGCACCGTTTTACATTCTCACCAACAGTGAATAAGAATTCCAGTTTCTCTACAACCTCGCCAGCATTTTTTGCTTGCTGTTCTGTTAAATTTTGCTATTCTGACTGGGGTGAGATGATATCTCATAGTTGTTTTGATTTGCATCTCTCTTAGAGATAGGGATTTTGAACATTTCTTCATGTTCTTGTTGGCCATCTCAATGTCTTCTTTGGTGAAGTGTCTGTTCACATCCTGTGCCCATTTTTCAATTGGATTATTCACCTTTATCTTGTTGTGGTGTTCAAGTATTTTATAAATTCTAGATATAACTCCCTTATCTGACATGTCATTACTAAATACTTTTTCCCAATCTGTGGCTTCCCTTTCTACCCTGTTGGAAAAGTTTTTGGATGTGCATAAGGATTTGATTCTTAGAAGATCCCATTCATCTATTTTATCTTCTCCTGGTTGTAGGTGAGAAGATCTTTTTAGTAACAGATTTTCTGTTTCTGTCTCTACCTAATTTTTATTAATTTGAAAGAAGACATGTAAAACATATAAAAATTTCTCTATACTCCAAACAACTATGAGATGTCATCTTACCCCAGGAGGAATAGCAAAATTCAACAAAGCAGCAAACAGCAAATGCTGGTGAGATTGTGGAGAAACTGGGAGATTGGTGGGAGAGTAAATGGTGCAATCATTTCGGAAGGCAGTATGGCACTTTCTCAAAAAGTTGGAAATAGAAATACCATTTGACCCAGATATTCCATGACTGGGAATATACCCTAAAGAAACCAGAACTGCCACCCAAGCAGATATATGCACAACCATGTTTATTGCGGTTTTGTTCACAAAAGACTTGGAAACAACCTGCGTGCCCATCAACAAACGAATGGATCGAAAAGCTGTGGTTTATTCTCACAATGGAATACTATGCTGCATTGGAAAACAAAGAACTCACGAAATATTATACAAAATGGTTGACTCTGGAGCACATTATTCTGAGTGAAATATCTCAGACACAAAAGGACAAATATTGCGTAGTGTCACTGTTGTAAAACGGGACTGACATCGGGGTTGGGGGGGGAACCTAAGAAAAGAGGGGAAATATAATGTACACTGCATTGAAACAGATGAGGGAGAGAACTTAAAAGTAATTTAGGATTAGGTATTATTTTCATGACAAGAATCCAGAAAAAGAAATGCATAGTAAAGTGGACTGTGGACTTGGGGGGAAGGAGGATTGTATAAAAATGAAAGATTTTTTTTTTCTTTTCAAAGAGAAAAGTGAATTGGAGGAGGAGTGGGCAGGGAGGAAAATGTTCAACAATGAATGAATGGCGAAAAAGGAAATGGAAGAATATGCTATAAAAAAAGATATATGCTGCATTAAAAAGTCACTAAAAATTTCTTTGTACAATGTATGCCTTAAGAGTTGTAATTATGATAGTATTTTAAATTACTGAATATAGCATTGATAAATGTGGTGTAATTTAGTCTGTCCTTTTCCATTTTGAAAGCAGCTGTCCTTCTGTGGACAAGATTCCAGTTAGACAGTGCATGTGAGAATGGAAGGGAGCCTCGAGTGATAGCCAGGTGATTTCTGTCTCCAGATTGAAATGATGTTTCTTCTCTGCTTGCAGATGTGAAGACATTGCATCTATCATTGAAATTGCCATCCAGGATGTGGACGAGATAGTATTTGCAGAGAAGGAAAAGATGCCCAAATTGTTGAGCACCCTCAAGAGAAAGCTGATATTCCCAGTGCCACAGGCCGCTCTTCCTTAGACCAGAGTTTTCATGTATTCTCAGACTCAAAATGAACCTTTTGCTGTTACTGTTGGATAGGTAATACCATGATGTGATTCAAAGACTTAAATATATTAAAAATGAGTATGAGAAAAATTTTGTCTCCATCTTTGTTCACTATAATACCCAATTTTCCTCCCTTTGTCTTACATCTTACTTAGTGTAAATGTTGGTAAGTGTACACACACACACACACACACACACACACACACACACACACCTCTTATGGCATTGTGTATGTTGTGCTGTGCTGCTAACTGAAACGTCAGGGGTTCAAATCTACCCTCGATGTGAAGGAGAACCTTTGGGCAGTCACCTCCGTCACTCCTGATAGAGTGGAGGGTTGCCTTGGGGAGGAACTGACACGCTAGCAGTGGGGATTTTTGTTGTGTTTTCTTTTTTAATAAAATTTTTATTTTATACTGATTTACTTACGAAGTTCATATACACTGCTCCTTCGCTCTACCTTCTTGGATCCTCATATGTTTTACTAATTATCTTTCTATTTCTACAAGTTTGGCTTTATACAGTATTTGTCTTTTTGGGACTGAATTTGTTCACTTAGCATAAGGCTCTCCAGACCCTCCCAAGTTTGGTAGTAATTTTCAGAATTATTGCTCCTACATAGCAGTGGGTTTTGGGGTATGTGTGTCCTCCCTTTGCAATCTACAGTCACCACGTCAGTCCATCTGCTTGAAGTCTGTCTCTTACAATGACCCTCCTCTACCTTTCCCTTTCCAGCTATGGTGTCCTTTTCTAAGGACTGGTCCCTCCTAACAACATGTGCAAAGTATGTGCGATGAAGTTTCACCATCTGTGGCTCTAAGGAGAACCTTGGTTGCTTGTTTGTTCTTTAAGCAGTCTTTAAACTGACATCATTGCTCTTTAGAACTCGGGAGAGGTTTCTGACAGCATCTTTTCTCAATGAACGTGTTTTGATTTCTTGACCACTGTACCAAGGGTGATGATTGTGGAACCAAAGAAATTGAAATAATTGACAATTTCAACCATTTTCCCATCTATTATGCTATTGCCTAATGATCCAATGGTGAGGATGTTTGATTTTCATGATGTTGAGATATAATCCATAATGAAGGCTGTAGTCTTGACTCTTCTGCAGCAAGTGTTTCAAGTCCTCCTCACATTCATCAATTAAGTTTGTGTCATCTGCATAATGCAGGTAGTTGATGAATCTTCCTTTATTCCTTATAACATATTCTTCTTCATAAATTCCCACTTCTTGAATGACTTGCTCATCATACAGACAGAATTGGCATGTAGAAAAGATACTGAATTCAATCAGTTATAAATGTCTGTATGATTTACTTCATTAAAATCTAGTGCTTTGAGGGTTTTTTCCTGTCAATTCATTTAAATTTTGTGTGTGCATGTGTGTTTTTTCCCTCAAGGGCTGTTATTTCATTCATTTTACTGTTTGTGAATGTTAAACTTAGATTACATACCTCCCAGTCTAAAATTTCGTCCATAAAAACACTTAAGTATTCCTCCTATAAAAACAAAAGTAAAACTTAAACTTGAAATGCTAAAATTTTAGCATACGCCCCTCAGTGTGCTTGAAAAAGAAATTAGGTATGCTAGGAGCTGATTGTGGAACAGACCACCAACTACTCATATGCAAGTTCAAGCTGAAGTTGAGGAAAATTAAACCAAATCCAAGGCAACCAAAATACGACTTTGAGTCTATCCCACCTGAATTTCCGAACCATCTCAGGAACAGGTTTGAGGCCTTGAACACTAATGAGTGAAGGCCAGATAAGCTGTGGGAGGATATCAAAGGTATCCAGGAAGAGTGCGAATGGTCATTGCAAAGACAGAAGAGGAAGTGAAGACCAAAATGGATGTCAGAAGAGACTCTGAAAATCGCACTGGAGCCCAGAGAAGCCAAAGCACAAGGAAGAATTCAAGATACTAAAGAGTTGAATAGAAGATTTTAAAAGGCAGCACGGGATGACAAAGCAAAATATTACAATGAAATGTGCAAGGAGTTGGAGTCAGAAAATCAAAAGGGCCGACTCGCTCAGCATATCTTAA